GAAGAGTCTTTAACAGGGCTTTGAAAGGAAAGGGTTTGGATCTGAGCATTCTGAAGGTTTCATAATAAAAGCAGTATGTAGGCATTCTTGGAGTTTTCAGGACTCAAAGTAGACATACTAGAGATGTTAGACAAATCAACATTAAGAATGTGAGAATGGAGAAATTCTGGTAGTTCTTTTAGGGAAGTCAGACTCTAGATTCAGAAATCCATCAGGGTCTGTATATTTAGTAATTCTGCATCCTTGAGCTTGGTGTCTACTACTTCCTTTATCTGCCATTCCACTTCTCCCCGAGACTGAGAAATAACCTCATTTGTATCTATTCCAATTCCCTGTTTGTATCTGTTTTTAAATACAGATTATATAATTTAAATCAGGAAAATGAAAATAGGGATTAGCAGACCCAAAGTGGTTAGTGGTTAGCCCAGGTCCCACACCTAATAACTGCTGCTGTGGGATTCCTCATGAGTTCTCCAAGACACAGCTATGCTCAGCTCCAGGGTCCACTATCTCAGAGCAGAACAGAGACTGGCACAGGCCTCCAAACCTGAGCTGTTTTGTCTGGCTTTTCAGGTTTTCTGTGGTTGGGGGCAGGGGCTATAGGAGGAGGCATTGTTGATGTCTCCTTCTAGGCAGTACCAGAGGGAGGCTGAGTTCAGACTTGATGTCCCTGTAAGGCTTCACTCAGACCAGACCCAGCCTTCCTGGGCCATGCCTGGCCCCAGAACATTGCTGCCTGGTGCTTTTCTTTAGGGAAGTCTCTCAGATCCTTAGTTAGAAAACCAAGAGTGAGCAAGTCTTCCTCTTTCAAGATAGCCTTTACTATTAGCCAAAAGGCCAAGGCAAAGGGAAAGACTGTGGCAAAAAGGGCCCTGATATGCCATAGTCATGTTCTGGCCTTGCTGTTTTTAGAAAAGGAACTCTTTCCCATGCTTAGGGGAGAAGTCAGACTTTCCTGTTCCTCTTGGGCCAGGCATGAAGCAACTTTCAGTCCCGATGTTGACACCAGGTCAAAGCCTCAGACTGTCTCCCTGGGCTAGGCTCCCAGGACTTCTATACTCTGACCTTTCCAAAAGGAAAATGAGTAGCTTAGCATAGCAGTAAGACCTGTGCATGGCCTTGGTGGAAGGGAAGTAGCAGTCAGGAATAGAAGCAGGAACCAAGACTCTGGTGCCACTGAACTGGGCTGGATCGCCAGTTCCACGATTTAGTGGCTGGGAGAAGTTAGGCAAGTTAGTTGACTTTTCTGAATCTCAGCCTCCCTATTAGGAGAGTGGAGGAATAGTGCTATATACACAAGGAATAGGAAAGAAAGAGAACATCTACGTGGAGAGCTCTGTATAGGGCTTGGTATATAGTAGACACTCATAGACATCATCATTATTTGTGGTACCAGGGGGTTGAACCTAGGGCCTGACACATGCCAGGCAAGAGCCCCACCATTGGGCTACATCCTCTCTTTTTTTTTAAAATTTTGAGACAAGGCCCTGGTAAAGTGTCCAGGCTGGGCTCCAACTTGTGATCCCTGTGCCTTAGCCTCCTGAGTAGCTGGGTGCCACCACACCCACTCCTTAGACGCAGACATTGTCTACCCTCAAGTTACTGAAGGTTGCATCTGAATCCTTAGTTTGAACAGTAGTCCTGTGAATGGACAGTGCATGTGAGGCAGGGTTGTGCACCTAGAAAGAGAGGACTCTGGACTCAAGGAGAAATGAGTTTAAATCTCATCTTTATCAATTATCAGTACACAATATGAATCTGGAAAAGTTAATCTTCTCTTTTGAGCTAGTTTTCTCATCTTGTACTTTTCTTCTTTACATGGTTATTTTTGAGGAGTGGTGGCAGAATTAGGTTAAATAATGAATGCATGTCCTAGGCACAAAGGAGATGTGCAATATTTGTTTCCATTAGTACCAAAGAATCAAGTCTATTCAATGGATAGCAGATATGAACCCTCATAGATATGACCAATAAGAAATATGTGAAGATGATACTGTCCTTTGAACTTGTAGTGTGTAAAGAGAAACACAAGGATAAATTAAGGGCAAAATGGCTTTCTTAGTCGGATCATTCACTTTTTCATATTCCCAGGACCTGACTTATTTTAGGCCTTTAAAACATATTTGTCAAATTCAAGAAAGCTTTGTTAATGCCATACCAACATAGTTTTCTGTGGTCAGGGCTAGCTTCCTGGGCAGGACTGCATGCTTAGAAAAGCCTCAGGCCATCTTGAAATTGTTTTTCAAGTATAGTGTAAAATCTATGTTATAAAGATTCAGCTATTCCATAATAATCAAAGTAAACTACATTTCTTTCTAAATTTCAGTTCTGGAATTTCCATTTGCTTAAAGAAATTACACTATAGTCTCATGATAAAATTCTCAACCATTTTGAAAAAAATTTATTTTTTCCATCTTTTCCTCCTTTAAAAATATTAATTATAGTTATTTAAAAGTTTTTAACCCCAACTCCTTCAATATCTGAGATGTTTTCTATTATATGCGTTTTTTTTTTTTTTCTGGTTTTCAGGTTGTAACAGGCTTGTCCTTTGACAGGACTAGTTGTTTTTCCTTGACTAGGGAACATGGTGCTTTACAACTTGTTGAAGCTTTAGATGATGGTGTCTTCTCCCAGGAAGGATTCAGCCCCTCTTCCCCTGAGGACCCAGAATGGAAGCTGCTCTTCTCAGTCTGATCTCCCTCTGGCTCACCATTGTTCTGGGCCTTATCTCTCTAGCACACTCATCACAGAGCCAGTTGTGGCACTGCCATCCCCTTCAGCACATCTTTACCTCTAATCTTTGTTTCTTCAGCACCATGAAACTGCCCCCAAACTGCTCTGCTTTTTGGAGGTTTTCAGCATACCCCTTTAGCCTCCTGCTCTTGTAAATTCAACAAATGCCACAGGCAAAGTTGGCCATGTGTTTAAAGTCTCTCAAGTCTCCAAGTCCCTTTAGCCTAGAAAGACCCTCAGAAACTCTGAATAATTTTAAAACAAGGGCCCTTCATTTTCATTTTGCATTAGGCCTCATAAGTTATATCAAGGGTCCTGCGTACAGGCAAAGAAAATGTTGATTTAAAGTTAAAGGGGCCATCATTGCCTTCCTAAAATTCTCCAGTTCCTTCGCATCACACACTTAGAAGAAAATCCAAACTCCTTATGAAACCTACCAGGTGCTTCCTGATCTGCCCTACCTTGCTTTGCTGATCTCTGAACTCCAGCCACTCAGGCCAATCCTTTAAACAGTTGAGCCCTGTACCCCTGTCCTTCTCATCTGATGGTTGGCTTTGTTACCATTCTGTCTGAATTCCACAGCAAGGCCCTGCCCTGACCACTCACTCTCTCAACTACATTTTGTCTTCTTAGCCTACTTTAAGCTCTTCACAGCTCCATTCTTTCTGAAAGGAACTTGTTAATTTGTTTACTTGTTTATTTTCTGTTGCCCCTAAAAGACTAGACTCAATGAAGGCAGCAATCTTCCCACCTTGTTCCCTGCCTTGTTCCCAAAGCATTGCACAGCCTTTGGCACAGAGTAGAAAGGGTGAAAAATGAATGGAGTTGGCAGTGCTGAGATTTGCATCTCAAAATGCTGATTTCCCGGGACACTCTCCAATGGGAAGGAGAGATCAGCGTTAATACCATAAACTGTAGGAAAGAATAAGAATGGCTGTAGGGTCCATAGCCATGTATGTGGGCTAGGTGGCCACCATTCCATAGTCTCCTGGCAACAGAGGCTGTGGAGGGCCAGGGCATAGGAGTAGGCTTCTTAGCACAGTCTCTTAGGTCAGGTCCCTGTGGCAGGAATACACTGTGTGGTTGAAGATGTGGGAAGGTCTGATTGCTGGTATGAACAAAGAGGCAGGAAACAAGAGATTCATAGCAATGGAAACATGGGATTGGAGACCACTTAACACAATGCCCCATTTTACAGAGAAGAATATTGAGGCTGAAAGGAAAAATGTATTCTATAATAGTAGTAGCAAAAATCCAAACTAAATACCAATGGGGGACCCCCTCCACACACACATCAAGAGTCAGTAGTACAATGTAGTGTTAAGACCTTGGTATAAGTATGGTATTAAATGAATTCATATTGAGTCCTTGGGACAGTTCCTGGCTCAAAGAACCTTCTATGAATATTTATGTATTCACACGTTAAAGACGAATCTCTTGAGTTTGTTTGTTGTTTCACAAAATTTGGAAGCCCCTTACTTGCATCATTTCATTTACCCCTCCCAGCTGCCTGGTGTGGTAATGCTATAGTGTTTTAGACACATTTTAAAGACAAGGAAATGAAGGCTCAGGCTAGAGAGTGGCAGAGCTGGGTGTGGCTCCAGTCTGGCTGACTCTGGGGCTTGGTTCCTGGCCACTACCCTGGGTGGCATCATGGGCAGAATTGTCCTGGCATCTCTGTGCTCTTTTCAGTGCCAGGCCTGTGACTGGCCTGAATGGGAAATGCTGCTGATTCACATCTTCTGTGCTGGGAAGCTGCCTTACTCATTGGCTCGTTCATACCACAAGCATACTCTGTATCTCCCCAGGCAGGCTCTGTGCTGGGCACTGCAGAGAGACAGGTGAAGCTAGGCATTTCCTGTGGGTTAGAGCAGTAGGCTCCCAGTCCAGAGGGGGCTGGCAGAAGGTAGGACATGTATTACAGAGCCAATGAGCATGGGTTTGCTCTTCCTTCAGGTCCTAGCCACCCCTTGCTGGAGTAGGATGCAGCTTTACTGGGGGTCACAAGTGGCTGGGATCTCAGATATACCAAAGGCAAACCTTTGAATCCAGGTGACTTGTCTAGTGCTCCACTTGTCTGTGGATGGAAGTCTGTGAGAGAGCTCACTCGTTTTTGGCTCTGGTTGTATCTGAGAGTCCCATACATCAGTGGGCCCACTAAGCTGTGCAGAGGGGATAAAGCCCTGGCAGAAGCCAACCCTGAGAGCTCAAAAGCCTTCAGCAATGACTGCAAGTTTGTCACTCCTCCCACTGTCTGATCTCTCCAGCTTGGAGTTTCCAGGCTGTCCCAGTCCCTTGAGACCTGTCCTCACACCCTCTCACTAGCACCCCTAGCAAGCCTTGTGGGATTCGAAGTGGATTATTCAAGGTGAGTGTTCCCTTTTCAATTCTCAACAGAGATGCCCAACCCTATGACTTTCATTGATCTCATTTATCCATTTCATTCATGCATTCATGCATCAGTACATTCATTCAACAAATATTCATGGGATTCCTATTGCAGGTTAAACTTTGTACTGGGCTCTGAGGATACACTTGAAAATAAATCAGTCATAGTTTCTACCATTGTGGAACCCACATTAAAAAGTGCTAGCAACAATGAAGCAAGGGGAAACATAATTACACATTTTAAAAGGAGCATAGAAGGACAGAACATGGTGGTACGATTTGGGGCTAACTCATGTCAGCCCAGGAGAGACAAGCATTAAATATTCAGGGGCTTTATAAGCCAGTTGGTAAACATAGACATTATGAAAAATTAAATTATATAAA